TTGTTTTTCAACTTCCACTCTGTGGATTTCTTCATATTATGAAATCTTGATGGCTCTTCCTCCAGAATCTTATCCCTTTAGAAGGTCTACTGTCCCTCCATAAAATGGAAAAATGAAGTGGTAGCTTTTTTCCCAGTTAAGGAGTGAGACTGGCGAAACATTGCTAGCAGTATGATTGTATTATTTTTCTGTCCATTCTTAAAGTAAGAATGTTGCTACTAACATCCTCCTTACAGCTTTTCATATGCTGAATTTGTTCTTCCTAATCAGTAATTCCTTATAATAATCCTGGTGTGTTTTTCTGGATTGGTAAATCCATAATTTTTTTTCCCAACTGTTTTCTTTACCCTGTCACTTGTATATTCAGCGATAACACCGAATCAGGTGCTTGTAACTCTAACTTGCATTTTCCTGGAAAATCTCGATAAATAGAACTACACATATACAGGGGAAGAGAAGAAAAGTCTAAGAAGAAGGCTAACAGAGGTGGTTAATGCTGCCTTTCATCTCTGTACCTTTTAGACAGAAGACATGTCAGGGTGTGGATTTTGGGGATGACCATCAAAAACAGGTACCTATAAGGTGTAAGTTCTTCACATTTGTTTGCGAACCCACTGCTTTGTCAGTGAACAGAGGAAAATGTAACAAGCCTGTAAAAATTCTTAGTTGTATCCTCTCAGTGAGTAGACAATAAATAAGTACAAAGAATAAGTTTACCTCTTGGTTTAGGAGAGCAAGAGGGATGTGTATTATCCGCTGGCAAGAAGCTTGTTTAAAAGCCCATGGATGACTTTGAAGTCAATTAAAAGTTTGTAACTGACTTCAGCAGGGTGCAAATTGACTCTTTCTGTCTTGATAAATTAAATTAACTGTATACTTGATGTACAAGATGCTGATATACAAATCTAACTCTATTTCTAGAACTGTTTCATTTCTACAAATTTTGTGAAGACAGGTCTGCCTCAAGTATTTTATAACTTTCACTAAATGTCTATACTAAAATCGAATGTTATAAAAGGTGCTTTCCCTCTCTACACAGCTGTTGATAATTATGAAATAATGAACAGCATTTTTACTTAGGTTTGAGGCTTTGGACTGAGTGGTTAAGTTTGATGCTTTTGGGGGATGTGCTAGAATTCTTAATGGTCATGAAGGGAAAAGGAATTGAGGAAGAGCTAGGGTTTTTCCCCATTGCTTTAATTTAAATGCAAATGATCAGCTACCATAATGCTGTAATGCATAATTCTGTATGATCATTCCAAAAATGTTTGTACATTTTCTGGTTTTTACATATAAGCCTTACGTGCTATCACGAAACAGCTACATTTGTTTCAAAATCTCACACTGTAATATCTCTAGATTAAGTAAAACTAATTTGTTCTTTTTCATTTCATGACATTTTATTTTGCTGAGTTGGCTCTGCATTTTGTAGAACATCCTGGTAACTTGAGATCATCTCAATGATCTGTTGGTTTAATTCGTAAGTTGATGTGCTGTGAATTTGGCTGCCTTAGAAAGGGATATTAGGAGAATGAGTGCTATTTCCCTACTGAGAACCTTTGAGAGGTAAATGATGGCCTTATTTCCTCTTCTGCAAGGGTTATTGATCTAGCCAGCAGGCAGCTTATGAAAACAGATCAGTGTGGCACTAAGTGCAAAAAATGAAATTGTGGTTGCTATTATTAAGATTTTCCTTGATGATTTCAGTGTTCAGTTTGAAAGAATCCAGCCTGTCTTTACTAAGTTACAGAATAATGTAATTCTTGCTATGGATAACTTTCTTCAAATTACTTTTTTGTTTAAACCTTCCTGATTTTTTTCCTTTATTTTTATATTACACACTCTGCCATTCATAAGACTCTGTGTCATTCATGGAGTTTTGAGCTCATGGTATCAGCTTCCCTGCAAAAATCAGTGATTTTAAAAACAATCTTAACAAGGCTTTCAAAAAGCAGAAAAATCCCAGAAAGTTCAGTGGTTGCTGCCACTGAACACATATTTTTAGCAGTTTGGTTTTAATCTTTCAGGAGCTTTTGATGGCAAAGATCTCAAACAAGCAAATAAATTCTATCTAGGGATTAGATGGGTCTGGCTAGTCTGAGTTCACTAATGTTTGAATTATAGCCCTGCTTGAGGCAAAAGAGCTGGGGCAAAAAGTGTTTGGGTATGAATCCATACTACTGCTGCATTCCACTTGTCATCTTTCATTAGCTTTCCTTTTCATTTCAAGATAAAGTTCTCATAAAGTGCTCTCAGCAGAATTGGGCACAAGGATGACTGGAGCTAGTGCAGGAGAGGTGGGTCAGTCAAGCGTAGTTTCCTTTTGGGAGCCCCCTGTACGTGCATCTGTATTACCTGCGCTGTCAGTCATGGTGCACTCTGGGGAGAATTAGAGGAGCTAGTTCCTGTGTTTCTTTGGAAGTGTATCGCCTCTAAAGTGGTGAGTGAACACTGATAAATGAGTTGACAGGCTTTTACCTTTAAGGAATTACATGTGAATGCTGCTGTAAGTGCCACGCATCCAGGAGCAGCAGTGTAACAAGGGGATCAGCTTTCTGTGGCTCTTACTTCTGCTGCAATGAGAAGGGAAGACTACATGATCAGTGGGGAGAGGAAGATGTATAGTACTGAATTTCACAGAATCATTGAATGTTAAGGGTTGGAAGGGACCTCAAAGATCATCTAGTCCCAACCTCCCCTGCCATGGGCAGGAACACCTTCCAGTAGACCAGGTTGCTTAACGCCCTGTCCAACCTGGCCTTCAACACTGCCAGGGTTGGGGCACCCACAACCTCCCTGGTTAGGGATTTCAGAAAGGAAGGTTTAGCTGCTTGCAAGTGTAAGCTTTATTCCCAGTAAAAAGCTAAAATAAAGTAAAAAAAAAAAAAAAAAAAAAAAAAAAAAAAAAAAAAAAAAAGGATCACAAACCTGTAGGACTATATAGCTTTAAGTAGTTTAAGAGAAATTTGGAAATTATGAATAAGGGACAGGGGAAACTGCATCTAATTTTCTTCTTGAGTTTTGATACATTTATCTCATAAGTTGCTTCACTGTTTCATCGTAGATCCAAGAAGCATTGTGTACACTATAAGGCAGAAGGACAATGTACAGTTATAACATTAGCAGATAAGTAATGAATGTTATCACACACTAAATTCCAGAAGGACTTGTCAATGAATAATGTTGGGAGCTGAAGCAGCAGATTTGCTGATGTTACTGCATAGTGCTAATAGAAAACAGAGTGTATGTTCTCTGACTGTTACTTTCTTTCTGGCAAGGAATTTTGCTCTTCTGAACCTGGCTGGCCAGTTTTCTTGCATCTTGCTTCCGTTATGGCATTAATGGTTGTTTCAAGGTCTCTGTGGCAGTATTTCTGTCACAGCTGCAGCAAGGGGACAGTCAGCTGTGCCTTGTGCCTGGCACCAGCCTGTGTCAGTAGAAAGCTGAAGCAGCTCAGTGAGGACTCTGTTCTCATGTTGGTGGGTACAACTGAGCAGATGCTCTTGCTTTTCCAGGGCCTCATGTTTTTAGTTCATTAACCAGAAAGTCTGGACAAACAGTACAAAGGATTTTGTGAGAAGGAGATGCCAAATAGGATCGGAGGAGAGTATCTGGAAGGGAAAGGAGAGAGTATTTCATGCAGTTCACAAGTGAAGAAAAAAATTGATTATTTAAAACAGTAAATTAAACAACTGAAATAACCCATTAAGGAGTGGGCAGCTTTTTAAAAAACAAAGGCAAATCAAAAAACCAGAACCAGCCCTTCAATTTGAAAGTTTGCAAAATACTGTGGTTAAATCACTCTGGAGTTGCTTCTAAAATAACAAACCCCCTCATATTACCTGCCTGTGTCTTGCTGAAGCAAGTGTCATTGAAATTTCCCTCCACCCTTGAGTCGTCCTTTTGTTATGTGTGACTTGGTCAACACAGGGCTTTTGGCCAGCACCTCTGGCTTATAGTGAAATCCCATTTGTGTGAGCTGAACCCAGTATTATTGGGTCACACTGACCCATTACACGTTAGCTAATTAAATGCCTTCACTTCTATGATGCCATCTCGTTCTTCATGAGTAACTCTCTTCTTAGATCACTGAATCGTGAAAATGATACATTTCCAAGTCATGGTGAAGCTTTTTTTTAATTGGTTGGGTTTTTTGTTGTTTTGGTGGGTTTTTTTGTTGTTGTTTTTGTTTTGTTTTGTTTTGTTTTTTGAATTTGGGATATATGCCTTTAATATTAGGGAAACAAATACAGTCTGCTACAGAGTTAGCAAAACCAAACTTTAGTTTGTTTTGGTTGGTTCTTAATGGGCTTCTGAGATGATAGAAGTGGTGAGCCTGAAACAGGCCAAAAAACTTTGCTTTTTTCCTGTGCCTGATTTGAAAAATTCCTTCAACATTTGGGAAACATGGAAAAAAAAACTTTGTAAGCATTTTTTTTTGTTTGTCACATTTCCATAAAATAAACTTATAGTTGAAATAATTTTTAAATCTGATTGTTAGTCAGTCTAGCAAATAATTTCCTTTTTTCTTTTTAAACAATCACAGGAAATAGTAGAAGAAAAATATTTTCTTCTGTATAGTGCTCTTTCTACCTCATCCTTTTTATCATTCCAGTGGACAAATAAGAAAGTAACTAAACAAAATCTGGTTTTATCCCTACCTGTCAATATACACCATAAGTAATTATAAGTGTATTTTGCTTACTGAGATAGTTCCTGCCAACATTTTTGTTTGCTTCTGTTCTATAGAAAAATCACTTTATACAAATTAGTTATTACTGTAATAGTCATCCTGTGTATGGGATTACAAGGCCAGCTGTTGTGTCAGATATATGTTCTCAGGGGGTTCTGTCCATTATCCGTGCTGGTAAGCTCTCCTGGTCATAAAATGTAGAAGTAAATTAATTTTCTGTTACAATTGTTAGACTGTATTGGTGTGATGTCTTTCTCTTATGGAAATTAAGTACTAACTACATGATTTTCTCTTTTTTTCCCCCCAGGAAGCTACTGACTGCCTAGAAATTAAGAAAGGCTGTGAGAATTCTAGTTGATCAAGGTGGAATTATTTTTTTTCCAAGAGCCTTTTCACAATTGCCTTTTGCAAAGTCTTCAGCTGCTCCCCTTTGTGCCATGTTTTGTGGCTCTCACCGTAAGAGGAATTTGTCTTGATGAAGATTCCTAACATTGGTAATGTGATGAATAAATTTGAGATCCTTGGGGTTGTAGGTGAAGGTAAGTAATATCTTAATAAAAAATTACTTGGAATTTTGCATAGGTTTGGCTTGGTCGTCTTGATGGTAATAAGTTATCTATTGCAAAATATTGCTTATATGCAGATAATAAAAAACCATCAGTTTATTCTCTGTGGCTTCTTTAAATTTTCTTCTCGGATGGAGAGGTTTGGAAGCTGAAAGAAATGGAAGAGAAATGGGATGGTTTTGGGGTTTTTTGTTTGTTTGTTTGTTTGTTTGTTTTCCCCTAAAAGTTTAGTATAATTATTTCTCATTAATGGTACTAGGGAGATACAAATTATCAAAAATAATTTCAGTGTTTTAAAATCCATTTACTTTCAAGCAATTTTTATAAAATTGTTTCAGTATGCAAAGATTTAGTACCCATATATGCAAGTTCTGGATATATAATGCTGGGAACAATATTATTTCTATATGCAGGAGGTGACAGAACACTGTTTTATCTTGCCACTTTTAAGTTTCTTCTGCATTAAGATGGTTTATATCTTGTCTTCTTTGTTTCAGGAGCCTATGGCGTTGTACTTAAATGCAGACACAAGGTAAGTAAATTGCTTTGAGGTCAGAGATAAATGTTGGTGTTTGGGTGAAACAGTGACTTCTTATGAGAACTAAGATGTTACTGTGTATGAGATCTGGCATCTGGAGTAGGCTTTTTCTTGCATTTAGTTACTCAGTTTTTTAATTGCAAGTGTCAGAGGAAATTGCTGTATCTAGTACCAAACTTCAGTTTTTTGGTGTATAATATTTGTCTGAAATATTAATGTTTCTTTAATCTCAACTAAGAGAGTTTTTTTTTATAAAAAGACCCAAAAAAGTTGTTTTGGAACACAATTTATACTTAAGCAGTCTCAATTAGAATGCCAAATTATTTGCCAAATACTGTTGGATAAGCACTTACCTCTCTTGGAAGGGGCAGGGGGAGGAAGTGGGATCCATGTGGAATTTCTACAGCTTCAGGACAATCAAACAAGAAAGCAGTGACGTTTTTGGTTGTTAATTTTAATTTTTAAGATGAAGAAGTTGAAAAGGAAAGAAAAAATACTGTTTGAGACAAAAATGAAGTCTGGCAACCTGTCTACGCTATTTTAACTACTCTCTAAGTTGGATGTATCTGAACTTGCTGCTCATCAACAGGGAACTGACACAAACTACTTTTGCTGTCTTTGCAGCAGCACTGTAGTCATACAACAAAGTAATTTTTCTGAAGCAGAATCTTTCAGAATCATAGAATTATTCATTTTTAGTGACCTAAGAATATACAAACGTTTCTTTGTGTAGTTCGTACCTTTTTCTAGACAAAGTTAACACTGTGCAGGGTTGTGTTCCTGCGGTGGCTTTTAGCACATGTGCAGAAGGACTTTTGCACACAATGTATGGTTATATCTGGAGTATCTTACACTGACTTAAAATTAAAAAAAGGAAAATATATTAGAATGTGGAAAGATCCTGTCTCAAGCTGAAGCCTTGTTGGGCTTGGTGGTCTATAACAGTCAATAGAACGACTTTGGTAAATTGAAAATTTTTAGATAGTTATGGTATAATAGTTCAGGGTGAGTAGTTTGAGAGTATCTGCGTAGTGACAATATGGTTTATCCTAGGAGGCTCTATTCTTTATGGAAGGTAACCTCACTGAAACTCAAGAAGTTTCTAGGATTTCCTGCATTGCTGAGTGAAATTTAAACTCTACAAAAACAGTTCTAAGAGTGTAGTATAATGGCAGGATAACCTGTTATCCAGGTTCCTATGAGAATACCTCGCAGGGTACCAGATTACTAGAAAGGAAGACTTTCCTTTAGCAGAGGGAAGTACTTCTTCCTACTGCATGTGTAAGGATGCTGATTTGCTTGTGAGGATCTAAATTTTTAGGTAGTTGCACCATTTTTTCTGTAGCTTCATCTTAATCGAAACAACTGTATAGAAGGTGTAAAACAAAGTGGTATTTCTTAAAACTTCTAGAAAGTGGGTTTACTAAGACCAGGGGTTTCCAGTATTTGGAGATCTGAAGAAAAGGTGAGGTATGTTGCTGTTTTCATCTTACTGATTTGCGATTCTCACTTACTTAAAACAAGCTGCACTCAGCCTTCAAGGGCAGATGACTTTAGGAGCCATCAGTTCTACCAAAATAAAATAACCATCCTAAAGTTGACCGCTACTTCTATAGGAAACCAAAGACTTAATTCACTTTCATGCAGTTTTAACAGAATGACCTGGAAATGCAAGTATGTGTGGTTTGCTTTGGTTTGGTTTTTTGCTTGCTTTGTTGTTGTTGTGGTTTTTTTTTTTGTTTGGGTGTTTTGTTTTGGGGTGGGTTTTTTTTTACTGTTTGGCTGCTGGTGGGCCTACTTTTGAATGTAGAAGTGTTTATATTCATCTTTCTAAATATTGGAAATATGCCAGGATCAAATTCTCAGCTTTTGTAAGTTAATATATCTCCATCGTCTTGGTGAGAGGGTAAATGTTGTGTGAAATGAGGAGCCAGCTCCTAATTGCAACAATTTTCCAACATATAATCCACTAGTACTTTAGTAAATATGTAGCTTTTTGCCTCAGTGCATTTCACAGGCATGTGTATATGCATTTAAATTGGAGAGAACGGTGTAAGGAGCAAATACCTTGTCATTATTATATGTGTTTTTCCTTTGCTGAGGGAACATTATCAGAAAAGCTAAAGTAGCTCCTCTAGAATGACTGTGTTTACATTATTATGCAGCATGTTTTTATCACAAATCCTTTATTGATAATTGTGGTTTGTGCATAAAGATTACTTGTTCATCTGAGTTTTTCTTCTGATGTGAATCTAATACAAATAATGTTGAAATAAAGCAGATCTTTTTCCCTTTTTTTCGTTTAATCAGAAGACTTTCCCTAAAGATGTATAGTGAAGTACATTTTGTTTGATGATACTGGAAATACATTTGATAGTCACTAGCTGTTAAAATAGCCTACCTTGGCTTATTGGATCTTGGCTATGTTTTCTGAAAAGAAAAGCCACTGCGATAGTTCAGCAGTGTCAGAGATCATGCCTGAGGAAAAGAATCTTAGCTAATGTTTAAGACTTGTCAAATATTTGCCCTTTAAATAAAACCACTATCGTCTTTACTTTGAAAAGGGGGCTTGTTGCTTCATGCAGAGTTAACCTTTGCTAATAGGGATTTAGGCACAACTATCAGGAGGGCCCTTATATCAGGTACAGAACTAACATGATAATATTGTGATTTGAAATCAATAAAATTATAATCAGGTGCTGTGGTAAAGCCCTAAGCATCCAAGGATAGGCACATGGAGAAAGAAGCCTGAAGGAAAAAAATTAAGTTGAAAATTGGTGTGAAAAGGGAATGTATTGTTAAACTGTCATATAATAGACTGTGTATATAGGAGGAACATTGACAATTGTAGCAGCAAATTGAAGTTTGTAGAAGTGAGGTGAATATATCCTTAAATGACTGAGGTAAGTGGAGACTGTGTCCAGGTAGGCAAGATGATGACACTGGAACAGGGTCATTCGTTAGAAAGGGGCAAAACTTACCACAGGACCAGGCTGGAGAGGAAGAAGGATTCATAATAGCAGGCAGTCAAACCATAAGAAGCATTTGGACAATGCTCCCAGGCACATGGTGAGACTCTTGGGCTGTCCTGTGCAGGTCCAGGAGTTGAACTTTGATGATCCTTGTGAGTTCCTTCCGACTCAGGATAATCTATGATTCTATTGCCTGTATACACCTATCTGTATGTATAAATTTATAATATATTTTTAGGTTAGCGAGGTATGCAGGAAGGTATGTGGTGATTCAGTTTCTTTAAAAGCACAGCAGAAATTTATGAAATCTCCCAGACTTCTTCTCTTGCAGTGTGCTGTGTGTTCTTAGAGGCCTCAAGCCTGGGGGGATACAGTTTAATGATTTGGAACTTGGATGCCAGTTGTTCTTATATGTAAAGCATCTCCTGCCTAATGAGATATTTTTTCTGCTCTTGTATTTTATAAGTGAGTCTGGTTTTGGTTGTTTTTAATAATATGAGATATTTGTAGTCCTTTTCCTTTAAGATAACACCACTGAATTCCTGTATTAAAAACAAACAAAAAGAAACAAAATTATTAGTTTACAGAATTATTTGGCACTTCTGTGCACTAAAGAGTAATGAAAAATAACCTTTTGAATAGGTTTAATACTTCCAGGCAATTTCTTCTTAACCTAATATTTAATTTTGTCTTGTTTGAACCTTCTGTAATACTCCTGCATTATGTTCTGATAAGTTGTGTGTGTACCTCAGAATATCTGAAAGAAATATTTGCTCACCTTTTAAAGAAAGTTATGGTTTGCTCATTAGAAAATAAAATTAATATCCATATGTAGCAGAATCATTAGTTTTCATTTAAGTATCTTAGCTTTTTCAATCTCTTTTGTTACTAAGTCCCCTACTGACCATCAGGGGCACAGTTTTCTTACTTTTTCCTTTGAAACCAACATTTTTTTTTCCTACAGGTAGCCCACTTCTGCACTCTTTGCACTGCTGGTTTGTGTTTGAGCTCAGTGAGGAATTCCCCTTTTACCGGTGTTGGCCAAATGGAGAAAATTTTCCCGGGGCCTTTACTGCACTTTAACAAAGTCACCGCGGAAGAGCAACCAGCCCCCACAGACTCCTTTACCCTTTAGGGCTGTCTCTAAGCAGGTCCTAGAATAAGGTGAAATCTGTTATGTTGAAAGTACAGGATTGTATTTCTACTGTCCCTCTTTCTTAATTCTTTCAGGATCTTAAACTCCACTCTATCATGGTGGAGATGCTGGTCTGTTGTAATCCCAGTAAGAAAGGCATTCAGACTCTGTAAATGTAATTTTAAGCGCTGCTTCTTTAATGAGTATTACTTTTTAATAAGGTAAAAATGGTACAGGTAATCTTACATCCCTTTAGATGCTGGGAATCTTGGGTTATGCAGCATCAGAATGACCTCTGGTCAGGGTGCAGCATGCTGTGCAGACCATGTCTGTGAATAGGGATTGCCCCATTTTCATTATTCAAGATATTACAGGATTTTTTTACAATAAAACTCCTAATCATTTCTTCTGTCAAACAATAAGACTGTTCTCAGGAGAACTTCTCACTACATCCCTGGATAAAGGCAAGGCCATACAGGTGAGGTAACTGCAGATGTCGAGTGGGAGCTGCCTGCAGGCTCCTCTGTTAAAACCACCTGGCTGAGTTTGTCCTGCAGCCCAGGGACCTGAGCAGCCCAGGCCTGGGCCACCTCGGCTGAACTCTGATGTGCATCACTAATTCCTCCTTGTACAGAGGTCTTCTGGCCAGGGTGACTACACGTTGTCCCTGCCTCTTAGGTCACCATCAACCTTCATATTCCTGTTGGTTCATTAGTCAGTTGTGTAAAGAAATTACCTTCTCTGTCTTCCAAAAATCTGATTTTCTCCATCATGCTGTGTTACCCTTTGTGCAGATGTTGGAGTGTTTTAAGTCCTCTGTGAAAACTGGACCCTATTGCAAGGCTTCCCTTAAGAAGGCTTTATCTATTTTGCTCTCCTGATCAGGT